TATCATTTAATAGCATTTGTAAGTATCATTTAATAGCATTTGTAAGTATCATTTATTAGCATTTGTAAGCATCATTTAATAGCATTTGTAAGTATCATTTAATAGCATTTGTAAGTATCATTTAATAGCATTTGTATTTATCATTTAATAGCATTTGTAAGTATCATTTAATAGTATTTGTAGTTATCATTTAATAACATTTTGTAAGTATCATTTAATAGCATTTGCAAGTATTGATGAAGTAGTCATGAGTATGATTTAACGACAACTTTTCATTTATGCTTTTTTTGAAGTTATCAAAGTTTATAAGAAATTTGTAAAAAGACTTTTATTTATATTAAAAACTAAGAACTTTTGTTAATGGTATTTGTTTATCAAAGTAATTTATCATTAGGTTTATTTCTTGCATGTAATGAAATTGTGTTTTATTGTTAAATAGGTTAAATAATAAAGTATGCTAATGGTCATTAAGAGGAGTAGCATCAAAAACCAAGTAGACAACACAATCAGTTCATAGAACTGATCCATTAAAAATATCTGAAGCACGGCTCTCCGGTAATTTACGTAATGATTTGAACCCAAATGAGATGTTAACTAAATATAAATAGTTCATATTCTACTTTGTTTTTTTTTTAGAGAACCGATGCAAAGACATTATAGGAATGATGACATTAAGTTTATTTTACTGAAGATCAAGAAGATTTGGTTGAATTTTTGGTTTTTGTTACACATATCCGAGCCGGGTCTTCTAAAGCAAAGTTTATTAAACTGATTTTGTAAAACAAAAATCTTCGAAACTAGGAGCAAATTTTCAGCTTGGAGTTCAAAATTCCTAAAATATTCTTTTTTTAACTACCTGAATAGTGCATTATGCTACTATTTATGTTTTAAAACAACATAACAGCTAGTAATTCTGAATATAGAAGTGGGGCTTGTGTTCTGTTGGAAAAGCTGTGCGAGAAAAAGTTATTTCTACAAACTTGTAAACATCACATTATAAGAGAATACTGATTTCTGTTCACAAAGAGTAGTTTGATTCAATATCACGTCCTAAAAATACAAATTTTATTCAATTATAAGATTTAAATAGGCTAAATATCAACTCACAACTAGTTTTCGACCCCTGAAATCAAAGAACGAAGTTTGTAAACCCACGTAAATAATCTATAAAAACACCAAAAAGAACAATTATTAAAAAAAAAATTTGAAAGAATTTAGTAACTCGTGTTTACTATTAGAAATATGCTGAATTATTATCGTGTTAATTATTAAAAGTATGCTGGTTCTTTTTTGTGAAAAAATTGAAAAAAACATTAGTAAAACCAAGGACAGCTCATCGTATTTGTTGGATGCCATCAAATTATTTTTCTTAAAAGATGTTGACTTTAATTTCTCATGTCGAATATTACTAGAACAAGATAACAAAACAGGAAGCAACAAGCAAACGTAACTCATTTTTTAACGTTAAAAAGTGACTTTGCTCATCCATTGGGTCCAACGCAGCCTCAATATAATTTTAAACTTGGCATAATTTAATTTATGTAAATATGAAATTCAAGTTGCAAATGCAGCTTTTAAAGGAGTGGAGAGACAATTTTAATATTTAGCTGAGGAATGTGCAGTATTGTCTCTAATTTCAAATAGATACTCTTCTTAAGAGTGTCAAATAATTGCTTAAAGATTGCTCTAAACTCCTCTACCATTAGAGTTTGGAATAAGACTTTAAACATTTCTTTTTCTTATCAACAGTAAGTTGTAAAACCAACATCACATATTGGGCTTAAATCCAAGTTCTTATTTCACACAAAAAAAATATTACCGAATGGTTGCGTAAACTTTTTACAGAGCGGCAATAATATTCTGTTTGCAAAGAAGTTGAAACACTTGTGCAGCATTTGTAAATCGGAATAATCTAGAGAACAGGATTTAGAGTTAGTTTAGGTTTTTGTAGTTATTATTTTAAATGATAAAGACGAAAATAGTTTTTTTTGCAAGTTGCTGAATTTTATGCAAGAACGGTTTTAAGGGAGAAATAGCATGCCTGCACCCCCTCCTCTCTTTCAAAGAAGGTTATATTCAACTTAAAGTAGAGTTTTTTTTTCAGAATTTTGGGGTTGGTTTTCGGGCATTCAAAAAGAATTTTTTTATATTCTGTCTTACATTTAATTTCCCAACTAATTGTATAACTAATATTATGTAACTATATTTTTAAGTTACTTAATCTTTTCATTTTATTATTCAGTACTCCATTGTAAATTTTTTTTAATAGTATTAGCCTTAAAAAACATTTTTATTAGTAATTATTTATTAGGGTTTTGTTGAAAGATAGTTAAATGATGTAAATTTTTTTTTAAACATTAATAATTTGCTAAAAGGAACAAAATGGGAGTGGTACATTGTGTAACTTAGAAATATTTTTTGTAATTGTCGAATCCGTATAGTAACTAAATAGATAAAAAGTTTTATAGAATTTCCATAAACTTTTAAGACATCTGGTTTACAGATATTTTTATTAATCAGCTGTATAAACTGCAATAATTTCTAAAAAATTACACTTGATAACTTCATTTCCAAAATACTATAGTATAATCTTTTTTTAAACAATACAAAAAAAAAATCAATAATATATAAATATTTTATAGCATTTTTATTATTATAACTATTAACTTCAATTAAATTTTCTTTATGCGATATGATATAGGAAATGTATACTAAATATTGTTATATTTTTTCTCAATGAATATTTTATTATTTTGTTTAATGGCATGTTATTGCGACTATATATTTATATATATATATATATATATATATATATATATATATATATATATATATATATATATATATATATATATATATATATATATATACATATATATACATATATATATATATATATATATATATATATATATATATATATATATATATATATATATATATATATATATATATATATACATATATATATATATATATATATATATATATATACATATATATATATACATATATATATATATATATATATATATATATATATATATATATATATATATATATATATATATATATATATATATATATATATATATATATGTATACATATATATATATATATATATATATATATATATATATATATATATATATATATATATATATATATATATGTGTATGTATATATATATATATATATATATATATATATATATATATATATATATATATATAAACATTATTATTGTTTTCTCCCTAAAATATTTAATATATAATAAAATATAGGACTCTGTAACACGGCTGTGTTGTTGTTCACTTGATTTTGTTGATCAGTCATAGCAGCTTTAAGCTCCACCTAAAGAAGCATAATCTTGTTCAAAGTGGAGTTCCTTGGTACGAAGGCAGTAGTTGATGAGTTTAGTATTTCATTAATAGCCTCAGTATATTGAACATTCGCAGCCTCTATAAGCTGCTTTTTATTAACAATCTCATTACTATCATTTGAGGAATTAGTTTGAATTGGGCTAACTGACATTTTTCAAATTACTGGTTTTATTGATGGAATTATTTGATGCACCAGAAAATAGAGGAGGCCTTAGTGCGCGAGAAAGATATTTTTTTTTTTTTTCTGTTTGATCGTTTTTTCCAATTTCGTTCCATTTTTTATTCAATAAACAGACAGGTGTTTTCAGACAAGACTTTTTTAATTCTTGATGTTCATTAAAATCTTGTGAGTCACTATCATAACTTTCATCGAGATACTTCTGTACTCTAAACACATAAGTTTAATGTTAAAACATAATTTTTGGAAATCCATCTTATGTTGTATTATAAACACCTTAAATTAAATATTAAAAATAATTATATAAAATAATTTAATGGCTTAACATTGACAGAGTTAATAAGTGTGTACTTTAGTCAACACATGATAATTAAAACTTAGTGAAGAACATGTTTACTAAACTCTAAACAAAAAATAAAGAAATATAATTAAGGTTGAATAAATATATAGAAAAAAGGAAAATAAAGATAGAGGGTGATGACGATGATTATGCGATCATATAAAATATAGCATAAAAATTTACTCAATTTTTGTTAAACTTTTATAGTATTTCTCTTTAAAAAAATTGTAGTATTTCTAAATAAAATATTATAGTATTTCTCAATAAAAAAACTGTGACGTGTTTTAAACTACTTAGTTTTTATTTTTATTTTCTCCCTAAAATATTTAATATATAATAGAATGTAGGACTCTGTAACATGGCTGTGTTGTTGTTCACTTGTTTTTGTAGATTATTCATAGCAGCTTTAAGCTCCACCTTAAGAAGTATAATCTTGTTCAAAATGGAATTCGTTGATACGAAGGCAGTAATTGATGAGTTTAATGTTTCATTAATAGTTTCAGCATTTTGAACATTCGCAGCCTCTAAAAGCTGCTCTTTATTTACAATATCATTTCTATCATTTGAGGAATTAGTTTGAATTGGGCTAACTGACATTTTTCAAGTTACTGGTTTTATAAATGGGCTCATTTAATGGGCACCAGGAAACAGAGAAGGTGTTAGTGCAAGAGGAGGAGAGTTTTTTTTTTTTTTTTTTTTTTTTTGCTGTTTGATCGCTTTTTCCAATCTCGTTCCATTTTTTATTCAATAAACAGACAGGTGTCTTCAGTCAAGACTTTTTTAATTCTTGATGTTACTAAAATCTTGTGAGTAACTATCATAACTTTCATCGAGATACTTCTGTACTCTAAACACATAAGTATAATGTTGAAACATAATCTTTGGATATTCATCTTATGATATATTATAAACACCTTAAATTATACATTACGAAATACCTAAAGATATTATGACTTATATTAAAAAAAAAAATTTTTGCCTAACATTGACAGAGTTAATAAGTGTGTACTTCTTACCAAACAAAAAATAAAGAAAAACTAAAAAAAATATAATTAAGGTTGAATAAATATATAGAAAAAAGGAAGATAAAAGTAGGTGATGACGATGATTATGCGATCGTATAAAATAAAACATTAAAAAAAAAACAAATATAAAATGAATTTTATTTAAATATATAAAAAACGTAATCTTAAATAAAATTTTAAGATGCATTAACATTTAAGCAGTCCCGGTCATAAATTAGCATTGTTTATGTGTTATCAAACCCGCCCTCGGTAAAATTTTAAGCCTGATTGCTAACTACAAACAAGTATATTTATTTAAACTAGCAAACTGTATGTAGAGGAATAATTACTGCTGCAACGATTCATGGCACTATGCTGTGCATAAAGCGAAACAAAATATTTCAGATTATAAATATTCTGTGTACAAAACTGATGTATAAATCTAAAGAACTATTATAGCTTACCGTTTGGATCGCAATCTTTGATATTCGGTATCACTCTGGAAATCTTAAGTGACAGTAGCATTAGTAAGGCAATAGCCCTTTTATAAGAATCTAAATATGGTAAAATAACTATTTACACAAAATAAAAAAACCAATTTTTAAATTAACTCTGTTTAAATTTGTGAAACGAGTTAGAGGCAGCCCTAAATAACACAGTTAAAAAGACATTTAAAAAGCAGAATTATATTTTATTACTCATATAAGAGAAAACTTAAAAAAAAAATTTAAATCCTTTCATAAAAAAACGAGTTATTTTTATTAAAATTAAAAACTGTTTTGAATTGTGCTCATATCATTGTCTTTCAAGTTAAAATATAAGAGCATTATCTTTCATCCTTAATATTCTGACTGAACGCTTTCTCCATTTTTCAGTCGGAATTTTCTCCTCCTCGACATCGTTGTCGTTTCTTTGCTGGTTAGTATATCGAGGCCAATAACATATTTCTTTATCAATCAGCCAAGCACTTGGTCCAACTGCAACATCATCATTTTCATCAAGAAGTGCAACTATTGCAAAACTACATTTCTTCATCTACAATGCAGAACAATGAATACAACATAAAATAATTTTTACTTTAATTCGTAATCAACTCAAACAAATAAAAGTTTTACTTATTTTTTTTTAATGTGTATTAAATTTATATTTTAGTTATTATTAATTTTTTAAACAAATTTATAAATCAATTATAATATTGTATAGGATACAAAAATAGCATACGACACAAACTTATTTCATGGTTCTCATTCCTGCTCGAGTTATAATTTTAGGCTCTATCTAGAATTTTTAGGTTAAAGAGATGGTATCTGAAAGTAGCACTGCATCCAGCACCAGATTTATATTCTTGGGGGCCATAGACAGGTTTATATTCTTGGGGGCCATATTCTAAATAATTTTAGAATATGGCAGCCTACAATTTTAGGGCCCAATAAAATTTTATGACCCTAGGCTGCACACTATTCTGCCCATAGATAAATAAATGGCTGCATAACTTTCTGATACTTTGCATTTGTTTTATTAACTGGCCTAAGCACCAAAAATATATAATTACAAAAACAATATATTTCACTTTTTAAAAAGCAGCTATATGCAAACTTACGAAAAAATCAAATAAAAAATAAAAATAGATAAAATAGCAAAAAAATGTTTCAAAAGTTTTATTATTATAGGTTTCAAATTAAATTAGTTTTTTTCTTCTAAATAATCTTACTATTGTTATAAATTATCATTTGATCAAAAATACTGTTTTTTATAAATTGTGTATAAATTTTTTCGTTTAATCAGCCAAAGCAAATATTTTTGAAAATAACAATAACAATAACAACTATTATTATAATTGTTATATATAATCATTCAGTAATGAAAACATTACACATTGTAAGTGATAATTTTTATTATTATGTATAAAAACTGTTTAAAAAAAAAGTTTTATAAAAATTGGTATTTACATAAATTTAAAAAAGTTAAGATAAAACAAGCTATAAATTAAAAAAACTTGAATTTTTTTTAATGATATCAATAATGTATATATATATATATATATATATATATATATATATATATATATATATATATATATATATATATATATATATATATATATATATATATATATATATATATATAAACGACAATATTTACTTTATAAAAATCTAACTCCAAAGCAAAGTCGCATTATTATAACTTCGTCATAGTAAGAAATGCATACATTGAAAATAAAAAAACAAATAAATGAAAATTTTTTTAATTTTAATTTGGCAAAAAAAGTTTAAAGTATAACATGGGTATAGCAGCATAGCCAGTATTAAAAGCTAAAAGAACGTGTTTTCTTTTTATTTCTGACAGTCAACAGTAAAACAATGATGCATTCAAAAATATTGCTTTAAAATTGTCTGACTTTTAATTTTTTCAAATAGTTTTCAAATGACTTTACATTATCCAGAAGTCCAAAAAATTTAGAAACACTTGTTAAATGCAATAATTCATGCTTATTGTCGGTGATCACTTCTCTGCCATAAATATTGGCAACATGCTTAACAAACTGTGTGCATAAGCAACATATATGTTATACCAATACTTACTTAACAGGATATTCATAGCAATTGAGAATAGCATAAAATTATTATATAACGCAATTGGATGAATATCTTCAAAACACGCCATGCCGGTGTACAACAGTAGTTCAGCCTTCCATCGCTCAAAGTCTTTGAATAATCTAGGTTTACGTGCAAATTCTGATGGGATATAATTTTTTAAGTGCAGCTTTTTTTCTGATAATTCACTAACAACAGGTAATTCAGTAATAAAAATATTATTTTCCGCATAACCCCAAGAAAAAATAAATGCATATAGTCAGCAGGCACTTGTGATGTCATTTTTATTAGAATATTAGTAAGAGGACATTCACTATGATGATGAAAATATTTTATTCTGGAAAAAGAGATGTCTGTTCTGAGAACTGCATCTGTTTTTGTTATTTTAAAACTGTCATCTGCATCTGTTAAGCTGAAGCTCTCTTTATTAATATCTGGTGGCTTACTATTCCACAGTATAGCCCATTAAAAAATGGTTCTCTGTTTTGTTGTATTTTATTCTCAAACTGTTCAATTATTCCGAGAATAGGCTAATGTTGTGTATTAGAGCTTTTAAATAATGGTAGTCCATTGACTTGAAAAAAAATTATTGAAACCTTCCATTTCATTATCATTACTTCCATTTTATTACCACTACTCAATGTTGGCAATTTATCAATTATTTTCTTCAATAATCTTCAAGGCTCCATCAATAACAATTTTCCCTTGATTGATTTGGGACAAATACTTTTGACTTCTTCTCGAATCTTGACTTCTTCTCGAATCTTTGACCATTTAGTCCCATAGCTCATTTCTAAAACCATGCTTACTAAAAGTACAGGATGTGATATAATGAAAATTATGAACTTGAAAAATTATGAATTTATGAAAATGTAAATACATTTTTCTCTCTGTAAAATTTGCACCTACATTCAAAACATTTTGCGTAATGCATTCTTGCACCTTTGCTGGTGTGCTATTAAAAATACGCTTTTGGTCCGACAATAGCTAGCCAAAATTAATTGAACGTGGCGTGGCGATCTTAACGCTAATTTAATCTATTCTGATCAAAACAACTTTGTCAGACTTTATGCAGCGAATGGCAAAGTAAAAAAAAATTACAATGAACAGAATAGAGAAAAAATTAAACAAAAAAATATAAATAAAAAAATATAAACATAATATGTAACAAAAAGAATTAAATAAAAAATAATTACAAATAAAATAATTGAAAAATAACAAAAAAGAATTTAAACTAAATAAGTAACAAAGTATAAACAAAAGTTATACATTTTCATGTTGCATTTTTAAAATCTAATTGACAACCAACAAGGTTGTAAGCAATTACTAATTTAAGTTAAGAGTTAGAGAAAACAGAGTTAGAACAGAGTTAGGGTTACAGAGAGTAAAGTTAAAGAATAAAAAAGTGGTTTACTCAAGACTGTGCTAGTAAAAAAGTTAGACGAATAACAGTTTTTAGAGCATGACGGAATAGATACAGTAAAATTATCTGTTTACTGATACGGATACTGATGCTGCAATATCACCATTTCTATATTTAAACCAAGCAACTTTGTTGATTGACAAGTCAAGCATAATTACTAAATACTTACTTACCACCAGGCTTGTGGAGCCAAGCCGGAGCCGTGGAGTCGGGGAGCCGCTGCTTTTTGGTGAAGCTGGAGCCGGAGCCGCAAAAATCGAGCGGCTCTTGGCTCTCATATTTGTTTTGTAAATGAATAAAATTTACATTTTATTAATATTTTTACTGTAAACAAACTTTGTTCATTTATTATTTAACTAATTTCTTTGAATAATAACTACTTATAAATAATTTCTTTGAATAATAACTTTCTAATAACTTTGTTCATTTATTATTTAACTAAATTGTTGAATAATTTATTTATTGAGTTTCTACATTTTTAAAATATTTGTTCTAACAGTTATGGTCTTGCCAAAACGTAATAGAAATGAATATTTTAACAATTTTTTGCTCAACAAAACACTTCCTTTAATAGTATTTCCTAATATGCTTTATTAAAAAAAAAGCAAATCTCTTATGAAAACATTACAGTATTGCATAAGTTGCTTTTTATACTGATACAATGGTTTTAAATATTTGATGCGCAATTTAATGATTAAAAGTTGTTCTTATCTTTTAAAAAAAAAGTTGATGTCGTCAATTAGCGCAAATGTTTCCTTATTTCTTTGAAATAATGAAAAATAATAAAATAAAAAGCACTTATATAATCTTCAAGTTTCTTAGATTAAAACAAATATTGACGATTTGCATTAGTTGAACTATTTTTAAATTTTTTTGAATTTTTTTATCGTTTTAAATTTAACGATCGCATGTTTTACCCAGTGGGCGCGGGGCTTACAAAAGAGGTCTATTTAACATCTTTGAGCGTTTTGAATGTCTTTTAAACGTTCAAAATTTTTCGGTAAATAAACACCTAAAAACGTTGTTTTTAGGTGTTTATTTACCGAAAACATTTTTTTTTAAATATAATATTCGGTAGTAGAGTAATACAATAATCTTATAATCATGAGAGTTAGTAAAAAATTAATTGCTGTAATTGGTATAGTTTTGGGTTAGTAAATGTGATCAAATAAAGTTCATAAAGCCGTGTCAGAAGCTGAGCTGGAGCCGGATATTTCTCAGAAGCCGGAGCCGAGCCGTAAAAAAAATGGTCTGCTCCACAAGCCTGCTTCCCACTAAGAGACTTTCCTAAACTGAATTTTTTTTAAAAAATTAGGTATACACAAATATCGCAACTAAAAGTGGTTTCTTGATGACGAGACTACATGGTCTTCTGAAAGTTTCCCACGTTCTTTTAACAGCGTTGCTTTTTTATATTTATTAAGTGTGCTAAATTTAATATTTGCATTGAAAAAAGATCCTATTATATGTACGATATTTTATTTTATACATTGTAAACGAATTAAATTATATTATGTTCACGTATTTGTAAAACTTTTATAAAAGAACAAAAAACATTAAAAAAAATTAAAATAAGATTTTGTTAATGGGACCATTAATAAAATTATTTTAATTTTGTTAATAGTCCCATTAACAGTTTTTGTAAAAAAAGGAAGAGATGCAATATTACGACTATGAGATACAGGATCAAGCTTGCAAGCTATAACAGGTCCAACTATATTTACAATATTTATTGTGGTTTTTGTTCAGAAGAGAAAGGACATCATTGAAAAACCATGGGACAATTAAGAAATTCGTTAGAAATAGGAGTAAGAAAATGGTGAGCACAAAAACTAAACTTTATATGTATATAAAAATAGAATAAAAAAAAGGATAAACATCAATGACAATACATACAGAGGCAAAAAAAAATAAAGAAAATACAATATTTGTTTTACATATTACAAACAAATCATGCTAAACAGCTGAAAATGAAAAAATGTAAAATAAGCTTAGAAACTGTAATAAGAAGAAATGCAATCTTTGCATAAAGTAAAAAAAGTTTAAAATTACACACTAATAAAATAAATTAAATAACATTCAAGACAAAAACTAAAAGTTTATTAAAACTACCTTTTGTAAAGAGTTTGTGTTATTCAGCGTTTGACGCACCACTCAACATTTACTTTATATCTACCTTTCCCATACTTTCAAAGTGTGACTGTTCAATTGATAAAAATATATTTAGCAGCTAACCACTTAACTATCACCAAAAAAATTGTACTTACTGTCGACAATTAATGGAACTTTAAATTTTCCAAGTAAAGGTTTAGTTTTACACATTTCATGTCACATTTATTTATTCAGTAGATCATCAACACCATAATCATCAAAAAAATGTCAAAACTCGACTAATTGCCAAAAAAATAATTTGTGTCTTTACATAAATGAAAATAATTTACACTTGAATAAGATTTCAATGACATAACTAAATTATTTATTAAGCTTTTTAATTCATTTAAATAATTTTAAATGAATCAAAAGTTCAATTACAATAAAAGTTACATTACAAAAAGTCATAAAATAACAAATCATTATTTAAAAAACCGGAACAACCAACACACATTTGGAATACATGTGTTTCCTAATATTTCTTTTGATAGCTTAAAAAAAAAGATTGGTTACATAAATACTTAAATTAGCTAGGTATGCTCCACAATCTATTGGAATCTAAAGATTCTTCTATATAATAGACAAAATCAATGTTACGATCCACGATTTCATGTCAAATTTTGAACTTATGTATTGCACTTAAATATAAACGTAACTTATTTAGTAAAATAAGCAAGCATGCACTATAAACTATCAATAATCAGAAAAAATTTTATTTAACTTTTATAAGCAACAAAGACCCTAGTCATTTATAAAAGCAAGTGTTATGTAATGATTTCATAGCTTTAGCATGCATCATTTTGTTATAATCTATATATAAATGGCAATGCAAAAAACATTGCACAAAAAGCATTATCTTTTTTTACATTTTTATATTCAATTTTAGAATTGCAAATTAAAGTCAATTTTAAAATTGAACTTTTTTTAATTAGCAATAAAACCGATAAGTTGTTATATGTTACTTTTATGTACATTTCTTTCGTAAAACAACAAAAATAGATGTTTTCCGAGTTAGCTTGACTTTTAAGCTTGTGTATAACATATTTATAGCTCGCACTTTTCTCAACTATGATGTAAAATATACAAATAATAAAACCTTTTTTAGATTAACAAGTTTTATGGTGTTTTATTTCTGCAGAGTGTTTTAAAGAAACAAAGATTTTTTATGTGTTAAGATTGCATATAATGACGATTCTAGGCGTGTTGAGGAAGAAGGTATTTTAACTTTATGAAAAGGGTGCTTTCCAAATTATAGTCGCTTTTTTAAAGAATATATCGGTTCAGTCGGGTATTTGACACAATTCAGTCGGGTGATTTTAGTTTTTAATGACCTTTTTTTTTTACTATTTTTAAGAAACCAGTTAGTACTTTTTACAGATTCACCTCCCGTCCCCCTCATTTTTTAGTTTATGGATTTATTAAGTCAGAAGTGGCCACGTAAGGTTGTGGCAAGTGAGACTTAAGTCTTAAAAGCTTTTATTCAAACATTACGGTGAAATTTATGAGCTTGAAATCATTAGTTCTTTGTTTTTGTTTCCTCCTAAATTTTTTATTATCTACTTCACAATATTTTACCATAAAATTATAAAAAACAACTGCCTAAATGAAACGAAAATTTTACTCATTAACTAATAAAAAACTTATCATTACAATGGTAAAAGTTTTATAACCAAATAACAAATCTACAAAAAATTATGCTCATTTAAGTAAAAAAAATTGATTACAAGGTTGCTTAATATAACTGCGACCAGTTTTAAATTATCAGATTATTTTACTTTATTTACAATAATTTAACTGAGGTACATATTCTGCAACAAAAAAATAGGTGTCTGTTACATAATCTTTTTCATTAAAATTTGGCATGCACGTACAAAATAGTTTTTAAACTTTTCTCAATAGTTTCAAAAATGTTCTCAACATTCTTTCAATATAAATTTGATGGCTGATCAACTACGTAGTTTTTAAGAAAAGTTAATTCCATAAAAGCGGTTACAACTACAAAAAAAAAATATCCAAAAATGAAGTTTAACTCTTCTACTTCTCAAAAAAAAGTCTATGCTCATATATAATTCTAAACAATAACACAACAAAACACATCCTTGCAACTCAAACGCTAAACACGCTTCATTAAAATGGTCGAAGATTTTGAATACGTAATCGGAGCCGTTGTAGTATGAGATTTTTAGTCCCGTAATTTTTTTACTCTTCGATAAAAATCTGATATGAACTTCGTGCCGTAAAAAAGGCAAATGAGATTTTTACTCTCACTATTTTACTTTTACTTCTAACTTGTTTTTAGCGGGATTACATATCAATATCGTGCACGCCAGATTTGCAGAAATAGTTAGTTATTTAAAATATAAAACATATCCAAAAAAAGTTTTAAATGAAGGCGATAAAGCTAATTTTAGAAGACAAACAAAGCCATTAATAATTAATATTAATGAGTTATATCATTTTAATAAAGCTGCAAAGGTATTCTATTATTTCAAAATGTTTTAAATGATATTGTCATTTTTATTGTGTTACAACTGAATCTAGAGTTCAAAATAACACGAAAATTTACAACTAGATAAACAATAAAAAAATATTTAGTTTTGAATCTCATTATATTGATGATTTAAAAATTTTATTTAGAGAAAAGTTATTTGAAGCAGAGATGAACAACAATACAAAATAAAGTTAGTTTATGAAGGAAGCGATGTCTCTGTTGAGTCTAAAGCTTTATCTGGTCATACAGGTACTAATAACTTAACCTATCACATTCAAAGTAGATTTTTTCGGTACGGAATGATAAAAGATATTACAACTTATGTTTTCGAATATGACCAATGTCAAAAGTCAAAGAACAGAGGGCTTCATTCAAAACCAATTGGTGCGAAATATTTCAATTCCTAAAGGCAAATTTAAGCAAGTAGGAATCGATTTAACACAACAACCTGAAGTTAATGGGTACAAACACCTGGTTGTGTTAATCGACTATTTCAGTGAATGGGTTGAAGCAGAAGCACTTATCGATAAAACTGCTAGAACTGTGGCTTTTTTAATATAAACAGATATGTCGACATGGTTGTTTTGAAATTCAAATAAATGACCTGGGTCGTAAGTTTATAAATGAATTTTCGAAAGAATCTTACTCAAAAACAGTAACAATTCAAAGAATTACGAGTGCACATCATCCTCAGGCTAATAGATTAGTAGAGCGAC